GAATAACTGGAGAAGCAGATGCATTGCTAAAGCAGAGAAGGTGTGTGTGTGTGTGTGTGCGTGTGTGTGTGTGAATAATAATAATTGGAGAAGCATGCATTGCTAAAGCAGAGAAGGAATGTGTGTGTGTGTGTGTGTGTGTGAGAGAGAGAGAGAGAGAGAGAAGCTTAAGAATTCAGTCAGTGAGTTCATAAGCAGGAAGCCAGGAAGGCACAGCCAATGGGGAGTGTCATCCAGGCATGTTTTTATAACTTGTATCACAAACGCATAAGGTGTATCACATGGTGTTCTGACCAAACCTGTTTGCCTTCCTAGATTTCATGATGCTCTGGCTGCATGGTGAAAGTGGCACAGGGCCCACTCACTTCAACATACCTCACAGCGTGACCGTCGACTCTGCTGGTCGGGTAACAAAGTAGTACTGTCTTACGTGGACCCTGGGTCTGGACATGCGTGTGCACTGGGGGTCGGGGTGGATGTGTCTGGTAGCTCTTGGTCTGCCATGGGTGTGTTCTAGTGAGTAGGGCTTTCAGGGTCTGACTGGACAGTCCTTGGAGCACGGACACGCACTATTAAAAGTAGTGCAGAGGAGCACTATATATTGGGAAATGAACACAACAGGTATCCTGTATCTCAGGGGGTTGATTTTGGTGGACCGGGGCACAAATGGCTAAGCCCTTGACTGCTGATTGAAGGGTGACCCTTTCCACCCGCCCCAAGGCACCTCAGAAGAAAGGCCATGTGACCCGCTCCTGAGAGGGCCCAGCCAGGAAGACCTGTAGGACACAAAGAGCCACCAGGAGTCCTCATGGACTCAGGCTCCTGTTTTTAAATCCTCAAAAGGGTAAAAGGAACAAATAGGGATTCGAACATGCAGTTACTTGGGTGGGGTGGGGGAATGACTAACAAATTACCCGTCTAGTAGAAAACTGTACTGGAAATGCTTGAATGTATTTTCAATTCTGGGGAAAGACTGGTGATCAAAAGAGGAGAAGTGAGTGAGGTTGAAGTTTGGCGGCTTGAAAAAGAGGCAGCAAGGCACAGCCCTGGCCATGCAGGCAGGACCACCTCGGGAGAGCGAGCCTCAAGCAGCATGTTCAAGCCATTGCTTGGTTTTCCATCCCTGCCCCCCACCCTCACCACCTTGTCACTCACTTTTTGGGTTTTACTATAAATATTGCTTCTCCTGGGGTCACACTCCTGCATCTGTGCCCCAGTGGCAGTGCAGCTGTGACAGAATTACAAGTGGGGGACTTTCATACACAGAAATTTCTCTCTCCCAATCAGGAGGCTAGGAGTCCAGACTGAGCGTACAGGCTCCAGGAGCAGTTTTTTCTGTCGGTTCTGGGGCAGATCTTGCGTAAGCTTCGCCAGCGGGCCACCATCAGGGTTCCTGGGCCTCTATCTTCTTTGGATAATGCGAGGTTTTCTTTGTGTCTGCTGTATGTCTCTGCTTACTCTGCTGTTTTATGTCTCAGAAATGATTAGCTTAAGACACACCCTGTACTGACATGGATTCACTAACCTAACAGAGACCTCTGTCCCCACGTGGGGTTATAGCTGGTACAGGGGGTATAGGAGCGTAAGTCAAAAGGCTTTACTATAAAACCATAGAAACCCTTAAGAACAGAAATCTTGAAATGTGAAGCTATTGTTTCTCCACACATACTTCCTTTAGGCCCGTACACTTTTTTCTCACATTTGAAAGCTGGTTGATCTGGTCTTCCCTGGGCCAGCATCTCCACCTTCTTTGAAATGGATGGTCTTTTTCTTCACCCCACCTTGTGGAGAAGCCCGTGTGAAGGGCCAAGGAAGGTACTTGCTTCTTTGAAGCGTTTTCCAACAGCACAGATCTCATGAAGCAGATCCTCCATGCAGGTGAGGCCATATTCCCCAAGAGATCGTGCCACCAAAGTGTTAACCTTAAAGTCAGGGCAAGACGCTTCTTGGTGATGTTGCCGTCACCACGCTTGTAGACCATTTTGTTCACTGACATCAGCTGTGGGGACCCATGCACTGCGTGGTCCACCATCCTCAGCATGTTCCTTGAAGCCTTGCTCGGTTTCACAAAGGTGCCATTGAAAACGGTGAAGGCGGAGAAGCTGCAACACCTTTCAAACCTTTGGGCTCACACCATTGATACCTCTGATGATAACAGCCGCCAGCGCGGGCTCTCCAGGTTAGCACAGAAGCCGCCAGCTTTTCTCGCCATCCGAGCCACTGGGATTCCAGCTCTGTCCGTCTGCCTGTGTTCCTTGTGATGGTGCTGAGCTTTCTCATGGATCAGCTTCCTCCTGGCCTTTTGAAACATCTTTTGGGCAAACCTCTTTCTCAGGTGCTTGCTTTCGTTCTGCAAAATGCCTGCAAAACGCTCTTTTTTAAAGGTCTCTGGAACAGCAGGCGCGTTTTCTCTTCTGCGACACCCTCCACGGTTCCCGCGGCTTTAAGAACAAAAGGACCCCGTATGCTCTTGAAGGCAACGTCGCCATCTCCTTCCTAAAGAAGTCTACGCTCCTTGATTTCAGCTGCCTTAGAATGGCAGATCGGACACTCTAATCCTGTTCTTTGGAAATATTTTCTGAGTGTTGGGAATAAAAATGTCTGGAGGGGTAAGATCAGGCTGAAGGGTGGGAGAGGGAAGGTTTCCCAGTGAAAATCTCCTGGGACTGACCTCCAAGAATGAGCAGGTGCCTGTGGTGGGAAACAAATCCCTTAGCACCTCGTTCCTGGCCCTTTTCTCACCCGCGCAACTCTCTGATGTCTCGAAACCTTTTTCTTGGTAAGCCCTTAGGGTCATCCTGTACAGGAGCCCGGGTGCTGCAGTGAGTTGCACACTGGGCTGCTACCTACAAGATCAGCAGTTCAAAATCACCAGCCACACAGTAAGAGAAAAATTCAGCTTTCTGCCTCCGCAAATAGTTAGTGTCCGAAACTCAACAGGGGCAGTGCTACCCAGCCATACCGGGTCGTTGTGAGTCGGAGTTGCGTTTGTTTGGTTTAGTTTTTATCAGTGTTTTAGATCATCCTGTGCCCTTCAAGAAAATCTTCCATGGTTTCCCCTGTGGGGTCTCAAAGTAGGAACTGACCGCTGCTTTGGGATCTCCCAAAGCTCTGAACTGACCGCTGCTTTGCATTTAACTGGTCCATCAGTTCCCCTTGGAAGCCACTTTTGTGATTGCACCCCTTTATTTGAACCTCATGAGACTAAGACAGGTGGGCTTTGAGTGGGCTTCAAAAAGTTCATGGAAAAATTCCATTTTCTTTTGATTCCATTCTTCCACACACTTCCTGAAGCCCCCTTGCCTGAGAAGAATCCACTGATCAAGACTTGGCTAACCGTACCTCGCGGTAAACCTGTGCAGATATAAACTGGACTTCTAGTAGCATCCCTTTCCCTTGCTTTAGCTTTATGTTTTTGGGGGGTGGGGTTGTGGGCCATAATTCAATCCTTAACACTTCCCACCCCAAAATTTGATGTTTATGTTTTGTTCCACTTTCCTATGATAGCCTATCCTTTTCCTCTACGGTACCTGTCATGCTACCATAGACCCATTTGATTAGCGTATCTGTTGCCCCAATAGACAGTAGGTTGTGAGGACACACACTGAGTCGAGGTTGCTCTGTTTTCAAGCCCAGCACGTGCTTGTGTTTGTCGGATGATCATAGGTCTTACAGGAAGGCTCTTGGTTTCATGCTATTGGCTATATTCATGTCTGCTTCGGATTCTGTGTCCAGCAAGCATTCTCTGGATGATGAAGCCCTCACATGTTCTTGTCCTTTTTATTGTGTTAATAACACTTGGAAAATCTGTTCTGGACAGAAAGGGACCGTGGGAACTTTGTACATAAATTGGAAACTAGCAAGTTGGAGTGCTGGTTTCACAGTACTATTTGGAGCTGAGTTAATTGCATCCCTCTTAGGATAATAAGGAGGTGTGGTGGCACGATGGGTTGTGTTCCACTGCTAATCACAAGGTTGGGTGGTTCAAACCCACCAGCTGCTCCTCAGGAGAAAGATGAGGTTGTCTGCTCTCCCATACAGATTTATTATCCTAGAAACCCTGCATGCATTTCTGTGCTGTTGCAAAAATGGCACAAGAACTGTTCTGGCTTCAGTAAGGAGGAGAACCCAGCTGTCCACCAGCCTCTGGCCAATTCCCACCTGATTGGTCAGACCTAACCCCCCAGTGTTTGCGTGCTTCATGAGTCTGTGCAGACCAGCCGCACGTGGATGTGCTTAAACCTGATGTTCATTTAGATCGTGGCTCTTCTCTTCAGGTAGCTGGTTAGCCTTCCTGAACTTGAGTTTCCTTAGCTGAACATGGGCCTCCTACCACCTTCTTGGGTCCTTTAAAATTAGAAGCTTAAATGTGCCATGGTCAAATACATATGAAATCAGCATGCATTCTCCCCTCTACCAGTTTGTCTTTTCTTCCCATCTTCCTACAGGGTGGCTCTTTCTCAACTGACAGTTTTCCGTGTGTTTTCTCAGGTATGGGTTGCCGACCGAGGAAATAAAAGAATCCAAATGTTTGATAAAGTCACCGGGGAGTGGTTAGGCATGTGGGATGATTGCTTCACAGAAGAGGGACCGTCTTCAGTCAGGTGAGGATGGCTTTTTTTGTTTGAAATGCTTGTGTAATGCTGTGGATAATGACTTAGTTTGGGGGATGGTTAAGTTAGGGTTTTTAAATCATTAGTGTTCAAGGGGCAGAAGGGAGAATGAACAAGAAACAAGTTTGTGTAAAGGGGACATTAATGGTATCTCGGGTCCCAGGCAAAATGAAAACATTTAAACTCCCAGTGTGCTTGGCTAGAGCTTTCCTACCGCCTCTACCTTCCAGATAACATTTGGTAAGCTTTTGAAGAGAGCGAAAATCAATGTCTAATCCATGGTCTCATACCCAGTTTCACACCATATCTTCATTTTGTGTAGAGCTCCAATTAGGATAAAAACCAAGACAAAACACCAAACCAGGCGCACTGCCGTTGAGTGGATTTCAACTCAGCAGCCTTATGGAACTCAGTAGAACTGCTCTTGGGGGTTTCTGGGAGAGTGTCCATCTCTATGGGAGCAGACAGCCTCATCTCTCTCCCGTGGAGTGGTTGGCGGGTTTGAACCATCCACCTCAGTTAGTTGGCGGCTTGACACTTCATCCCCTGCATTCCCAGGTTGCCTTCTGACACTGCTGTTTTAAAAGTTCAACAGTTCAAACTGTAATTTAGGAGCTCACGAAAAGATGTGCAGTGTGAGAAACCCACGGGTCAGTTCTACACTGTCCTGTCAGGTTCACTGTGCATTGGAATCGACTTGTTGGCAGTGAGTTTCATTTTGGATGCTAAACCTTGGCTATGCCCCCATCGCAGCACACATGGTCCCTCCTTTGATTAGATCGATTCTCCTGTACGAGTCATCCAGCAAGGAGCATGTGTTTGTCTCTCAATGTAGGGGACAGACCTGTTCAGAAAATAAGCATCAAAGTGTTTGTGCCAGCCATTTATTTATTGTTTAAGATGTCTGTCTTCTCAGGTTTACTGCTGATGGGAAGTACGTGTTTTTCGCTCAGCTAAATCTCAGCCGCCTCTCCTTTGTGGCTGCGCCCCCAGCAGGAAGCGTCGGCCGCTGCTCTGTGGTCAGCACCATCCAACTTGCGGATCAGGTTTCGCCCCACCTTGTGGACGTGGACAGGAAGACAGGAGCCATCTACGTAGCAGAGATTGGAGCCAAACAAGTACAAAAATACATCCCTTCAAGTAGCTAGCTCTTCCTCTTCTCTGGGCTCCTAGTTTTTCTTTGCCTGGACATCGATCTTTCTATGTGGAAGCTCCAATTCTCATGTCGATTGCAAGAACACTTTCCTCTCTTTTTACCAGAGTTAGTATTAGAAAGGTTTATTTTTTATATTGGTATGAATCAGGTTTTGCTGCTGATCTTGAGAATTCATTTTACTTGTAAGTGCATAGAAAAATATTGTAAAGCAAGAAATGTAATTCTAGGTAATAGATCTGACGTGAGGAAGGACGGAAGTCGTGACTTAGTTTCCCTGGGAAACCCGGAATGATTGTGAGCCTGGAGGATGTTTTCCTGAATTCCATGGGGAGTATTGTCAACCTCATAGCTTGATCACTTTTTAGAAGGCAAACACCTGAGGGGTTAGAGGCAGGTGTGCTCATTATTTTAAATACTAAATTTGAGATTCATAAATGGAAAGACCAGGGCTCCTCTGCCTTTAGATTGGCTTTTAATCCAACGGAGAGAAACAGTTGTACGTTTACTGTGAACTTTGGCCTTTTTATAGCCCAACTTTGCTTGGACCTTGAGCTTTAAGATACTGAATATCACCTTTTAAATGAAATAAAAAGGCATCTAAGCACTTTACTGAAAGGGATTTTTACAAATAACTGTATTTTTAAATATATATATTGGAAAACCTCAAATATGGGGCATCTCTGTGTTTCCTCATTTCTTTGTTTAACATCAACACCATTCCTTCATGGCATTGTCTACCTCTAAGAAGTGTCAGGATAATAATTTATATGGAAATGTGTGCCAAACCTTCCCTCCACCTACCCCCTGTCAAGTCTGAGGATTGGCTTCCCAAATAAAAGTTTTCTGGTTGGTTCTAGTGTATTCCAGGTTGTGGCAAAACATTTGAGATTATTCTTTGCCTTTCATTCTATCAGTCTCCCACCTGATTCCAGTTTTCAGTAAATTCAAGTTGATTTCCCCACCATCACCCATTACTGATGGAGTCTTCCTATTCCTGGGCACTCCTACTGCCTTGAGTGCTTGGATCATATCTTTTTTTCATTATTTGGGATTTAATATATCTGTAATTCCATATTTCAGTCACGTAAAGTAGAATTGTTTAGTTGCTACCAGGCAGTTGCCAAACATTGGATCATATCTTATTGTGACTCAGAAGGCCACCCTTCCAACAGGAAATCCTGTCCTGCACCCGAGGCCAGTTATATCAATGTTGTGCCAGTGATCCAGCTTCATGATAGTGATTGTCACCTCTAGGTTTACTGAGGTCCTTGCCTCAGTACAGTGGGAATGTCATCATCTTCCCCCTTCTCACAATGCAGTGGAGATCATACCTGGACGTACTTAGCTGCAGGTACCCAGAGGTATTTTATTAAGAAAGGTTCTTTGAAATGTGCTACTTACCTGGCACTAGCTTATCTGGTTTGCCTTAATTTTGCTCTTCCTTGAGCCAAACAGCTTCACAAAAATTAGACAGTTGAGGTGTTTTGGTTGTCAGCCGGGCTGACAAGTGCCAATGTCTCTGACAGAATATAGGCTAGGTAAACTGATTTTGTCATTGCTTAAATGTTTTCTGTAACTAGTTAGCACCAACGTTTTAATGAAAGTTGCTGAAGATACTGTTTATGTTGCTGAAAGTGATCATTACGCAATGTAATCACAATAGTTTACTTTCTTAGTAGGATTGACTGAGGATTTTTTTTTAAATAAAAAAATTTTATGGAAAGAAGAAACATTATTATCTGGCTTCCCAGTTCTCAGTATGGCATGTGAGCCGCACACTCTGAGGGCTCTTTCGAACAAGGCGGGTTTAGTGTGCAGGTCACCGTGTGGAAGGATTCTGGTGAGTGAAAGATCCCCCTGGGATAGCACCCTACCCCCACCATTTGTCCTGAGCCGGGCCCTCAGTGATCCAGAATCCAATTCTGGGGACATCTCGGCCCATCAGGCTGAGTGACCCCAGCGTGAGCCACCACCGCTGCCACGATCAGTGATAGACCCACTCCACCCCCCAGACCGACCTCCACGCCAGGAGTTGCTTGGCTGCATTGCTGAGACACACAGCTGTGGCAGGATTCCCTACAGCAGCTGCCCACTTGTGGGACCCCACTAGGAGAGGTTTCCCTTTCCCGCAGTTCCCCACTCCCCATGTGGCTGCGATCTGCCCTTGGGTTTGGGTCTCTCCTCCATTCACCCAGGGCCCTCCCTGGTAACTGACCTGCAATCTACTGGTGGCTGGCTGGGCGACCTCCACTGGGGACAGTCCACCCGCATTGCTGCTTGGAACCTCGTCACTGGCACCCCGTTTGCCCACCCACTCCCGTCAGCTTTTCTCCTGCTCCTGGCCTGGGAGGCCACGCTGCAGCGGACTTAGCCGCCGGGGCCCAGGCCGCTTCTACCCATGGCCCTGCATTTCCGCCTTAGCCACTTCAGGCTGGCTGCGCCACTGCAGGGCCCTGCGCCATTCCCAGCGCCAGCGGCCCAAACGAAAAGTGTTCCTGCCTGCTAAGGAGCCTACTGACCCTGCTTTGCGGTCCCCGCCGGAGCTGTCTCTGGCCAGCTCACACCACTGGGGTGCCCTGCGGGGTACCCAGTGCCAGCTTCTAAGCCTGTCTGCCCCAGCCCTTTCCTGCTGGCATAGGAGGCAGGCGCTGCAGCTGGTGTCTCCCACATCACCCCTAGCTGCCCCACCCTTTTCTGGCCAGTGCAGGAGGCTCACTGCTGAGGTGCATCTCCTACAGGTATAGCCTCTGTGTACCTGCTTAACGCTATAGGCCTGCAGGGACCTGGGGAGTTCATTCTCGATCTCAAGAGCATTTTCCCCATAGCCTGGCTCTGGAGGCCTCAATAAATCAACACCACTTCCCATGGCAGCAAGGCCTCCCCCACCTCTGCCTTCTATTAGGCACCTCTAGAAATTGGAAGAGGGGGGCGGGGGGATTCTGTTGGTTTTTTTCCCCTTTTTTTCCTCTATTTTCTTTTTCATTATTATTATTCTTTCTCCTCTTTTATGCTTTTCCTTTTTCTTTTGTTTTCATTTTTCTCCTAAGTTTTTTTTTTTATTAAACAAGAAAAAAGGCTGCTAAGTGTGCCCTGACAAACCAGGTCAAAGCAGCCTTGGGGCACTCATTGAGGCTCCATCCCACACTCCAGTCACTGAAACTTCTCATCACTGTTGGCCACTAAGTCATCGAGGAACTCTGCCTACATGGCAGTCTGAACCATCTCTGTATGAGGTCATAGGCAGCCCCATGAAAGCATCCTTAATAGTAACACAGAGAAGGCCCCCCTGGTCTCCCAGAAACATGGGGCCGACAAAAGGATAGAGGAAAAATCAACAGACCACATTACTCCCAACAAAAAAAACAGAGACAAAACAGTAGCAGAGCTAACACTCTCATAGAAGAATCAGACATGGATCTGTCACAGAAAAATCAGAAGTCTGCTCGCAGGAATACAGGAGCTGAAGGAAGCAACGGAGAATGAGGATGCATTAATAGAAGATATGAAGTCCACAATAGAGGGGATGAAGTCCACCCACCAAAGGGAACTACGGGAGCTAGCAAAGGAGGTAGCAGAAGCCACACACAAGGTTACAGAATTTACAATTAGGCCTAAGGAGGCAGGGAACTGTATCAGTGATCTTGTGGACACTCAAACAGACCTAGGCAAGTGGGAAAGACAGGAAAATTAAAGAAGCAGAAGATAACCTGAGATCAATGACAGATAGTATGAAGAGGAATAATATTCGAGTAATTGGTCTACTGGTGTACAACATGCCACACAACTCGACAGCCAAGATAGCGAAGGAATTTCTGGAAGAAAACTTTCCCACGCGAACGAGTGAGAACCAGCCGCTCATACAGGAAGCAGAAAGGACACCAGCTAGACTAGACCCCAAGAAGAACATACTGAGACATAATAGTAAAAATATCCAACTTCAAGGAGAAAGAAAAAATTTAAGCACAGCAAGAGAAAGGAAGACAGTCACATGCAAAGCAGCTAAGATAAGAATATTCTTAGACATACCAGCAGATACCATGAAGAGGAGGAGTGGAGCAACATCTTCCAAAAGGTGAAAGTAAAAAACGCCTCCCACAGAATCCTGTACCCTGGCCAAGTTTTCCATTAAGATATGGGAAAATAAGGATCTTCCAGGACAAGGAAAGACTCAAAGAATACACTGCAAGACACCCGACCCTGCGGGAGATACTGGCTTCTTATGGTCAGAGGATCAACCTCCACCAAAAACAAATAGGAGACCGCTATAGAACCCATCTCCATCTAGAAACCAACGTGCCAGCAACAATTACCAGGACAACAGGGTCTCAGAGGGATAGAAGAAAAGATAGAAACTCTCCGTTCAAACACAGCACACTGATATGAAGGGAGATAGGAAAACACCCAAAACACAAGACGGTATGACAACTGAATCCACAGATTGTGATAATCACTCTGAATTCCAATGGACTCAATTCATACATTGAAAGAAAAGGGCTGGGGGGCTGGCTCATAAAACAATCCATCAGTCTGTTGCCTGCAAGACGTCTTGAGTGCACAGACAAAAATAAGCTAATAAAAGGCTGGCAGAAAGTATATCAGTGGCAACTTTAAAAAATCAGGGTTGGCAATCTTAATCGACAAAATGAACCTCCAGGTTCAAACCATAAAAAGAGATAAGGGACACTACATGATTCTCAAAGACTCAGTAAACCAAGAACCAGTTGGCATATTGAATATTTGTGCACCCAACAATGGTGTGGCAAATTTCGTCAATCTATGAAAAAGATTGAAAAAAATCCCGGATTCAACAATCATAATAGGTGACTTTAACACTACGCAATCCGAGAAAAACAGATCATTTGGAAAGAAGCTCAGCAAAGAGGCTATAGAGCTAAACAATGTAATTAGGCAACTGGGTCTGATATTTATAGAGTTTTCCATCCAAACACAAAAATATTCATATTGTTCCCAAGCCCACATGGATCATTTTCAAGAATAGACCACATGCTGGGACACAAGTCAAGCCTGAGTAAATTCAAACAACATAGATATTGTTCAGATGTCTTTCTCAGATCACCATGCCATAAAGCTGGAGATTAATAAGAGGACATCCAAAAAAGCAAGGGTAACCAATTGGAGGATGAACAACGATCTGTGACATGAATGGGTACAGGCCCAGATTAGAGAGGATATTCGGAGGTTTCTAGAAACTAATGAGAACGAGAATACAATGTATCAAAACTTATGAGATACTGCGAAGGCAGTTATCAGAGGTAGCTCGATATCATTAAATGCATATATGAATAATAGAGACTTATGGTAGATACGTTATCCCAAAACTTCCAACAACTAGAACAGAGTCAGCAGAACAAACCCTCCAATAGCAAGTGTGGTAGTCCGGGTACTTTAGAGAAACAAATCCACAGAAGCTCATGTATAAGAGAGAGTTTTATATAAAGGGTAAATGCACATCAAGAAAACATCCCAACCCAGTGCTGCCCAAACCCTCAAGCCCAACATTAACACATATGTCCAACACCAATCCACAAAGCCCTCCTCCATCTCACAAAACACACACTATGATGCTGACTGCAGGAGGAAAGCCGAATCAGTGAATGTGTAAGCATGTCAGTGCTGGCAAGGGGCTCCACATGGCTGCTCCAGCACCCAGGGCTGCATCAGGGTAGTTCCATGTGGCTTCTCGTTAGAGATGTCTTGTAGGAAGTCAGCCTTGCAAGCTGAAGCAGGGAACTGCTAAGGCAGCTGCACCCTGATGCGACCATTACAAAGCATGAGACCTGAGAACTCCAACAGCGAGGCTCACCAAGCCATTTATCCCTCCACCCTTCAATTAGCCCCAC